AAATTCCTTTTTCTCGGGCCGTCTCGTCTATAATATTATTTTGAATTTGTTCCTATGTTGCCTTGTTATTACGAGTAATTCTGCCTTCAATGATTTGGAGGACTGATAATATTTTTATAATGAAGCTCTTTTGAAATATCTTTTTTTTTTTCATCTTGTTGTAATTAGTGACTTCTTTAATCAAGTGTGATAGGATGCATTATGCAAAAAAGAACAGTGTTGGCTTGATTTTTTTTTATAATGTTGTGAAACCATCGAACATAGGGCCATCCATTTCTTCAGTGTACTTTTTTGTTTTCTTTGACTTATATAAACCATCTGGCAAAAATTCATCCGTGCTTCCAATGTTTCCTTTTCCTTTTCCTTCCATAAGGGCTCGTTTTTTAGTTTTGGTGGAAGTATCTGCCCAAATTTTGGTTATTGTATGTCCAGAATTAACCCATTTTTCATCTAAATAAAATACCTGTTTATGCTTTTATTCTTTGAGTCCGCTATTTTTCTTAAATAATCTCTCCACGTAATGATTTCGTCTTTCTCTGTCAAAATACTGATTTCACGTTTCTTGTAACAAAAATTTAAAATTGTTATATTTTTGCAGGGACGTTTTCACCAATGGTTCATTTTTGTGCAGTAAACATCCAGTTACATTTAATAAAAACACATAATTTTAAAATAAATAAAAATATAAATTCAATTTTAATAATTTTATTGTTTTCATACGTGTTAATCTCTATTTTTGGGTACGCTGCTGCACTTTGGCTAATCACCTCTCCGTATAAATGAACCCGAGGGAGCAAGGGTTTTTGCGAAAGTCTTTAGCTAAAAAGAGAGATCCACACGTCAACCGATCCGTGAAACATAGAAAACAAACAATATATCTGCATAAAATCACTTAAATCACCTTAATTTGCTCAACGCACACAGTGACGTCACAAAGTAGGGCGATGCATGTGAACTTTTCAATCATTGATATATAAAGAGAAGATGTTATGACGATACTAAAAGTTTCCACACACTTTTACGTCATACGTCAAACTCAAATAAGTTGAGCTAGTTAGTCTTGGTTAGAATAAATACAATTTTTGTTTAAATAGCATGATTTAAATAATAAAACATTTTCATTCAGACAATCTACAAATATAAAATTATTAATCAAAATACCACTCAAAGTGCATTCAATTGTCATATCGCAAAATAGTGTTTAAGTTGGTCATCTACACTTCATTCTGATTCCATCTCTATGTTTCCAATCAAACTACATTTTTATAACTCTATTTATAAATTTCCTTCAGACTTTAACAAATCGGAAGAACGTGTGTCAATTCAACGATTGTTCTTCACGGTAAGACTTTTACTATTGTCAATTAAAAGTATTTCCAAGGTTATAATGTTTTTTACAAATTTTATATTTTATAGAAAAAAATTTACGACTGTAATTTATATTTTGTTTATTGTTCAAGTTTCTATAACTTCAAAATAGTCATGTGTTTTGTATCCAACTGTAAGTACTATGCCGTGAGCAAAAAAATTGAGTTTCCTACAAAAGAGGTAAACGAAACAAAACTGCTTGAATGGATACAATGTCGTTAGAAGAGATTTCACAGAGACAAAATTTAATTATATCCTAGTCTGTTGGGTAACTTTATTGTGCTGAATTTTATTTAAAACAGTACTCTTTTATAGGAAAACCATCAAAATTAAACGATGACTGAAATCCATCAAGAAATAGGCTCTTATGACAATGATATAAAGTATTTAACTTTAAACAGATCATAGATTGCAGTTGCCACCCAAGAAAAATTATTGTACATTGTACCAGAAGGTATTTCACAAGTATGACAATTTTATTATATATTTTATTTGAACAAGGATAATTTCTTGACTTTAGTACAATTTTTTATGAATAATTGTTTAATTTTGTAGGTTGTCCCTAATTAATTTGAGGTTATAGAAATATTTTCTATCTATAAATGCTAGAGATACTGATAAAAGAGGATATAGAAAATGAATATTGCACTGGCCTAAATTAATTTAAGAAACTAAAGAGTTGTGTCTATGTTAGGTATGTAGCTTTATCATGAAGACCTAATTAAATATTTACCGATATTTATACAGGCAAATTAGAGGTATATGACACTATGTCATAGAAAAATTGTTATCAGAACATAAAAATATGTTACCAAAACTAACAATTCATGTATATTAAAAAAAAGTTTTAATAGTTAGATTACTAGTAAACAATACATATTTTGACAATAATTGGCGCTAACTGCATTTCTTGTTGAAATATAATTTATATAATTGACACATTCGGTAGGGTAAGCAAAGAGCAGCAAAAAAAATCGATTTTTAAAAATATATGATACAGTAGTATAAAAAAGCTGTTATTTATGTTCCTAAGTGCTCTAAAAAAAGTTGGGCTATTTTACTCAATTTTTAGCCGGGCCCCTAAGAAGCCAAAAAGGGCCAATTTTTGTTTGTTTTTAACTTCAGGTACTGAAAAAATTTTGATAATAGCGTCTTAAAGCTCCCATTAATTTTTTTGTAGCAGTCGCGTAATAAGCTGAAAGCCCTAGTTATATGTGCAACATTTTCGCATGGTTTGATACTTTCTAAACGCTGACTATCTATTGTTTTGTAGTTTAGTCCTTTATCGTCAAACTTAGGCAACATTTTTCTTGCTTCCAATTTGACTCTGATATATACTCATCTCTTGATGTTTCACCACAAACTTTCAACGACGCCTCTGTTACAGTTTTGACGCATCTTTCCACGGTTTGCATATGACATCCTGAGAATTGCCAATTCTCTTACATCATGGGGATCAAACATCATTTCTAATAATAAATTTTCCGGGTGTGAAAAATAACCATTAGTTGATACTACTCTTTCACAAATCTTTTTGATATTTGTTGGTAACTCTCAAGATGCTTTAATTGCGTGCCAAAAGTGATTTGCTCCATAATTTAGCTGTGATTTTGTCTTAATTTGAAACCACATTGGGGCGTAAACCTTTAAAATAAACGTGGTGATATATTTAAGATTATCAGAGGGATTGTCAGTAGCTACATATAATCGTAGAAGCTCTGGTGAGCCAACGAGCATAGCTCATTTTCTCGGATTTTCATTTGTCAAGTTATCCGTAATAATTCCAATACTTAATAGCTGAACAAATTTGATATAAAAATTGTTGGTCCATGCTTAAATCTGTCTCTGTAAGTTCCGGAAGTTGTTAAGTAATAGGTTCAAATTTTACCACTGGCATTTTTTCGCAATCCTTAAGAAGTATTTCTAAAGGTCATGAGTTAGAATAAGGCCTTTTGGTACTGCCCTTTGGTACTGCCAACTCTTATAGTATGTGCCTTAGTGGTAGTTCATTGGTAGGGAGCATACAAATACTCCAATGAACCCGTTTGCCAATAGGCACTTCTGTTTTTCCATCCAGTATTAACATGTTTTCCATGACAACCAAATTTTTAAAAGAGGTATTCTGTTACTTTAAGCACGATAGTAACCCTTTGGTTATTTTTTCAGCATTCCCTGCAGTTTGTAGCGAGACGTGTCCAAAGTAATTCCATTCTTTTGGAGTGTAAGTACTATCTGGATGGTCTTTATCGATATAGGTATACAGGACCGGACTTTCAATTTTTTTTATTAATTTTCAGAGACCCTGGGGCCCTGCTAAAAATAACTTTTGAACGATAAAATTTGGCGTGTGTACTTAAAAGTACTTGGTAAATCGATTTTTACTCCCGAAAATCAAAATTTAAAGAAAAAAAATTCAATTTTTGGGGGTCCCTGGGGCCCGGCTAAAGATTAAAATTGTTTGTTGAAATTTTTTGGGCATACTCTACTAACATGTACACAGCTTTTTAGGACTACATTATCTTAATTTTCTAAAAATGGATTTTTTCGGCCCACCCTAACATTCAGTCTGCTGTATTAAAAAGTTGACTAGAATGACAGTGCAGTTTACCTCAGAGGTACTGATTAGCTACTAAATAATTGTCAAAAATTTATCTTTATCATTTTTTATTGTACCTATTTTTTTAGTCTATTAGGTTATGTATTATTATACTCTTCACTGTGAAGAGTATTATAGGTTTACTTTGTCCGATGTTACGTTTTTAACTGCACGATAAGTCAAAAATAATAATATCAAAATTTTAAACAAAAAACAAGCTCTTTTGATTAACAAAGTCTTTTCCAAGATTATTAAACACATTAAGGGCCAGTCTTTTCACCTCTGAGTATAGTTAAAAATAACTACTTGCTGATTAAAATATAGGGCTATTGTTTGTTAATCTGAAAAGTAAACCTACATGTAACTTTACTCAGAGATAAAAAGATCGACCCGAAGTACGATATTTTTTTCTTCTAAAGATAATGCTTTATATCCACTAGATCGTTTACGCGTACTTGTGCTTGCAGTATTTTCTAATGCACTGGCTATTTTTATGTAACTGTAAAAGTATAATATATACTTATACAAAATTCCGAATCATTTGAAACACATACGAAACGGCTATGAATAATTGAAGTCTGACTTATCTGTCAAATCAAAAGGTTTATTACAGTAAAAACCATGGAAATATGATGAAATCTAAGCAAAAACTTTTATTAGGTCGATCAGATGTATTAAAGTTTTCATTTTAACAACAAATAAGCATTGAAGGATGGGGTGTAAAAAATGTCTACCTCTTGAACCTATACTACGTTCTGCAAATTAAATTACTGCACTCCTTTCTTCTCTAGACTATAGAATAGCTACATCAGTATCAGTCTTCTATCTAAGCGATCTATAACTTTCATAGCCACACAAATAAAAAAAAGCGAATATAGTGCTGAAATTATAAAAAAAATATCTCTGAAGAAAACTATACAATTAAAAACCGACAATTTCGAGAATTAATATATAATGCCATTTATTAACAAACATCACATATTTTTGTAACTTTTAATTTATGTATGTATTTCAACAACACCTTATTTTAACTTAC